CTTACATCAATGACGTGGAGTTAAAGTGTGTTTTCTTTGATGACAGAGCATCCATAAACATCATCACTACTGACACCTTTGCGAAGGTTGGCATCCTACAATCTAGGATGGTTTGTAAACCCATTACGGTGACCGGTTTTGGCGGTGAGAAAAGGGTTTCTATGGGCTATGTTGTAGTGGACTTAGCAGTTGGCGAGATCCGCTCTACCACTAAGTTCCATGTGATTGAAGCGGACACAAATTACCACATGATACTTTCCAGGATTTGGATGCACTGATATGGGGCTATCCCGTCGAGTTATCACTAATGCGTAAAGGCAAAGTTGGGGAAGCGCATAGTGACCATAAATGCATCTGAAAAGCCATTTGGAGTACAAGAGGCACACTATTCTAATGCAGTCTTCTTTACCGTGCTGTCAACGGATGAAACTCCAAGGACTGGTAAGGTTGTAGGTGTAAAATTGCCAAAGTGCGAAGACATTCGAGATGGAGAGGCTGCTCTAGAACGCAGTGGGCAGAAGAGGAGCAGTAAGTCCACGAGTCCTCCGCCCAAGATTGTTAAGGTGCGCAAGGGCGGCATGACAGTTTACTACCTACGACGGTCTTAGGGCCCAGACTTCATACCTTAGGAGGATGGCCTCGAGGCAAATAAACGTGATGGTAGTAAGTCCCAAGACGGGTTAGTGGAGACGCCTGAGCTCACCCCTGAATGTATGCAAGATAGACCCAAACTGTAGTAGGAAGTACTTGTTAAGGTTAACCTCAGCGACCTGCCAGGGCAAAGCAAGCCCGTGTTTATCAGCGATACAATGGCTCCAGCAGCTAAGGCAAAATTGACAAAACTACTGGAGTGGTATAGTGACATCTTTGCTTGGACATATGATGAGATGCCTGGTATTGACCCATCCCTTGTCACTGTAGACGCGCCCGTGGGCCTCACTACAGTTCGGACTCAATTTGTGTCACGGTTCTTAATCTGAACCAAAGAGTCCAAATCCGACAAGTCGTTTTGAGAAACAGATTTTTGAAAAGAAGTGCCAAACATGGACTGCTTTGCCAGATACAGAGTCGCCACCTAAATATTTTAAAATGGGGGAATTTAGGAAACCCTGAATCGGTGCCAAAGGCCACATGTTCGTCATCACCAAAGTTGCCTCGGCTCGGGAGCTTGGGTACGATCGGGGAAGGTCAGCTATGAGCACCTCCTCTCGCCCAGTCCGAAGACCGGCCTCTACTAACCGTGATATCCAATTTTCAAAATGTTGTGTTCTTATTCCATTTATTAGCCTAGAATTACTATGTTATGTGCACAGCACACAAGTATAGACTAGATCGCCTAATTTGGAAATAAGCATTGCATATCTGTTTGTCTTGAAAAACATTTTGGAATTTGCTACTTGCAAGTAGGCTAAAATATGGATTTCAATGAGTTTTTCCAACTCAGATAATCCAACCTTCACCCACAGGCATTCAAACAGTTTATCACATAAGCATCTAGCCACATGGTAAGCATCCTGTCATGATAGCATTCACACGCATGCGTTATGCTAAAGCATGAAAATACTTACATCGTACTCCGTGCCAAAACAATAAAACTAGTTAGCCAACATGCATGGTCCTAGTTCATGTCAAATTGACTAATGCAACACATACAGGATGCAACTAGAGTAGGCTCGGCTAACCTAAACATGGCATGTGAAATGCAATCAATTGATGCACGTATTCAATTTGGAGTTGAAGTACAAATGCAGTTAGCATGATGTACCGAGCCTGGTGCGTGCAAGGCAAATGTATTAATGCACGCATGCATAGCATAAGGTATGCTAATTTAAACATGACCTATTGCTAACCATCAAAGCAGGTAAGTAAAAGGGAGAAAGAAGTGGGGGTTGGAAGACATGCACACACTCACCCACACTTATTACAAATTCGCCCTCGCCCGGAGGGACCGAAAGAATAATACAAATCGAATAATGAATTAACTATCCTAGCTAATTAATTATTACAAATTACCTAATTAGCTAACGAGCTAACTAAGCTAGGAAAAACAGTAAACCGCCTCGGGAAGAAAGCTCAATGCAATGCATGCTCGGTCTTGCTCGGGAATTCACTGCCATGCACAATCTGCCTCTGTTTTCCCTGCTCTGCTCCTCTAAAGACTGTTAAAGTCTCAAAATTGCTTCTCTGGACATTGGGAGACACCACCGGCTGAGTAGAATGGTAATCGGCAGTGGTTTGGTGTCCATCGGCACACAATGAATCCATCAGCTGCCAGTTTATTGCCGGTCGGTACCCTATGCAGTCGATCGGCAAAGAATGCCTGTAGAACCTGTTTGACAGCAGCAGAGGACAGGACTTTGCATGGCAATGCAATTCAAACCATATATGCACCAATCATGTTCCTTATCATGTGAGTGAGTCAAAGGGACATACTCCTTGATTCTCGGACCACCAATCGCGCATTTCAATGCGTGATGGCCCAAGAGACCAAGCGTGCACATTTTGATGTCAAATGAAATGCAATGCACACAATCAAACCAAGAGGCTTCTACCTCCATCATGACTTGGTCAAGAGGTAGAGCATGCATGCCAATGCAATGCAACCCTAATCATGTGGGCTAGCATGCAACATGAGCATACAAGCAAGTGATGCGCACTAGGCACATAGACTAGGCAAACAAGCATACAAGCATGCCACAACTATGCAAACTACTTAGAGCATGCAAGATGTGATCTAATCATGCAACATGCTAGTAATTTGACCAAGGGAATGCATGCCAAATGCAAATGATTTCAAGCATGCAACACATGCAACCAAAGCATGCAAACATGGGATAATGTAACAACACTTGAATGGCATACAAGGGATGGACTTACACTAATTGGACGGCTCTAAGTTAGGTCCAAAACAGTGGCCAAAGCTTAAGAAGATGGGACCAAACACACATACACACATGCACACGTTGAGGCCTAAACACTTAAGCATCAAAAGGCTTCTTTCAAGAACACTTAAGAGGGAATAATCATGGACATGGGGCATGCATTAAGCTCTGAAAATCATGCAAGAACATGGTGTCAAACCAAGCAAACAAGATAGGCTAAACATGCAACAAATGGCCCATGCATTCAAGGCAAGCTAATGAAGTATTGAACTACACTTAGCAAGACCAAACATGGCATGAATTTAATGACTAAAAACAGAGTTTTAGCATATAAAACAAGGCCCAAAAGACCACTTAGATGGCATCTAAATGGCTTGAATTCAAAAGCATGCACAAATGAACTTTCAAGGAGCATATCACACAAGCTCATAAGTCATCAAAGAGGCATCCAAGGCAAGCATACAAGCATGCTAAGGGGACTGAAATGATGCTATAAATGGTGTCAAATCATTAAAACAAAGCAAGTAATGCATGCTACACACTCGCACACTTAAGGCCAACAAGCCAAAATGCAAAGGGGCTATATTAAACATGCCATAGCCGACCAAAATGACTAAGGACAGACCTTAAACATGGCAAAATAAGCATGAAAGCTTCACAAGGCTAAGCCTAAAACATGCTAGAACAATGGTTTACAACCTAAGGCACGTTAAGCCTAAACATGGCATTACAAGGTAGGTAATGCCTAAGCAATGCAGGTGTACCAAACAACTAAAAATAGAGGCATATTATCACATAATAAGCACAGAAAATCAGCTAAGTGGTCAACATGAGGCTTAGCTAGGTGCTCATTAAAGAGGCAAAAATGACCCTTTTCAAGGACAACAAGGAGAGGGGGTGGCCCTCTCCTCCCTAGGACCTCAAGGCACCATCCTCACCTCTGAAATCCCTCAAGATTTCAGTGGTGAGGAGGCCCAAACACCAAGGTCCCGGAGCTCACTCAAAATAGCACAAAATGGGGCCTCTCAAGGCCTAAGAGGGGTCAAACACCTCCAAACCGCAAAACACTCTAAACCAACTATTTAGAGGGCCTAAAAATAGAACTTTTTTATATTATACACCAAGCTCAAAAATAGTTCTAAGATAGGCAAAAATAGTATGCAAAAATGGGGAATAAAAGGGCAAGATTGTTACCCTTGAAGACCTCTTTCCGTGTTAAACGTGGTTTGTATGTGTCCATGCCTTTCCTAGGCAAGATACGTTTTGGCCGCATGCCTTATCCATTCAATCCATTGCATATTATGTATATTGCATTGTAGCTTGCATGTATTCATTGCATCACCTCCATCTATGGTTCGCGCCTTTCCATGTCGAGCTTGGTCTGGTATGTGCCCATACTTTTCACGTTGAAGCACAGTTATGATATTATGTGTACGCACCTAGTGTTGTGGGTGACGGCACCGTTTCTGTGTTAAACGTGGCTTGTTTGTGTCCATGCCTTTCCTAGGCAAGATACGGTTTGGCCGCGCGCCTTATCTATTTCATTCATTGCATTATAGTGCAGTGTGTTGCATCCAGCATTTAGGATCACGATCTTTCCACAGCAGGTCATTCCTCACTTATATCATCCCAATTACTTGTATTTTGTGTTCCGTCTACACACCCATAGTTCTGCATGTGTACGCGCCTATTCCACTGATGGGATTGCGGTTTGAGGGTGTTGGCACCTTTTCTATGGTAGACGGAGTTTTATGTTGTATCTCCATCCTCTTCATGATATTTGTGTGGCTTTGTACTGCTTGTGGTTTGATCATCTCAAATGCATTGCATATCATTTGCATTGTTTCAATGTGTGGGGATGCCTCACAAGGCATTCCCTGCCCCTCCAAGGCAAAACACAAGTGTTTGGTGCAAAACCAGACACTAAGCAGTCGAGTTCAGAGATCCTGAGGCAAGGCGCGTAACCGAGACCTCCGGCAACTCCAAACGAACACAACCATGGATGATCACCGGGTGTTCAAGATGAGAACTTATTTTAAACCATTGTACAAATATTAACTAGAACATATAACTTTGATGCTATATATATATATTTTACACTAATGCTAACTCTTCTTATAAATTCAATAATTTTTACCTTTGATTCACAGGAAGTTTTGCATTTGACCGATGATGAGATTTTGCAACATATGAGAGGTGTTTTTCGAGATGTGTTGGATTGTTTCAACACATTATCTCCAGAGGTAGGTTGATTCTAGGCAGCTTATGAATTTAGTTATTGAAAACTTTTGATTGTTTAAAAATGAACTTATTTAATAAGCACTTAGATGTTCCTGTATAAAACTTCTTTTCTTTTAATTTGTCTATAATCTTTTGAATTCCATATTTTTCTTATCTCCATATTTCAAGTAGGTTGTGGATGAGGGCAGCAGTGGAGCAGTGGTGTGACTTCTTTGCACGAGTGTGTTCTTTGTTGTCTGTTTGCACAAATATTCTAATATTTTTCGGTTAGTGCACGGACTAGCGATTTCCTAATGGTATAGTTAACAATGACTAGAATTGGTAAAGGTGCATCGGAATTACAACTTGTTTCGTTCATTCAGTAGTTTGGATAAGCATATATAAATCTATGGATACACATACAACATATGCTAGTGAAGGTCTAAGGCTCCTCATGGTTTTCATTATGTTGATCTTTGATAGTTGCAGCAGGGCCTTTGTTATCTTGCTGTTGTTATTTTTTGTTTTCTTGAATTTTTATTTTTACAAAGTCCAGATTGTCGTTTCCAAATAGTTTTGATCTTTCATTATCACAAGTTGACCACCCAAAAAAACTACCCCTAAACTAATCGGACTCGCAGGTTTGTATCTTATGAGCATTTGACTTCTAGTTCTAGTTGAGTAAAATTAATATCAGTGTAATTCACCCAATTAACTTTTGACCAATTTTTTCTATCATATTCATAATCTAATGTACATATTATTGTTTATTTTTATTTACTAATAATACTTTTGTATGAAATATTTTTATTAAATTGTCTACTTAATTCCTAAACTATTAATTGAGTCTATTCGGTCCTTATAGTATATCAATCAAAGTGTTTTTAGTGCTTAAATTATCGATTGAATCTATTAAGTCCTTAAAATATTTAATTCAAACATATTTAGTCTCCGAAAGTATTACAAAAATAAAATATATATTTATACGTATTATAAATTAATAAAAGACCCTACTTAATTAAAATTATATTACAAAAAAATTATAAATTTTTATTTTGTCTTTAAAAAAGTGTAATTGTGTGTTTAAATTAGTATTAGAGTTTGATTTTTTAGTTATATGAGTATTAGATATACTAAATAAGTAAAATTAGATAATTCAAATAATCGCACTTTGGTATAAATAATAATAGAATAAAATAATGCATTAATTAAATTATAAAAAGAACTTAGGGAAAAATTAAAAAACAATCAATTAAAAATTATAAACGAAATATGATATAATATTAAATAAAAACAAACACTTAGCCATGGTAGAAGATAAGTAACTTTTACTCTTATAAAGAAAATTCACTATGAGAACTGATGTTCACTTTTTAATGACAAAATAAAATTTTCAAATATTTTTAAAATAAAAACTTAACTCAATAGGATCTTTTGCTAATTATTTATTAACATTTATTTTTTTCATAAATTTTTTAGTAATAAAATAAATTTAAACTAAATACTTTAGGTAGCGAGATACAGTGAGAGAGCCAAAATAGAAAGAGAAATGGAGTGCCTGTTGTGGGAGCTTCGAATTGTACGGGGAGAGAGTGGGAGGGAAAATGAGAGAAAGGGTTCAGCAACTTTATTGGGCGGTTTGCCCTTTTTTGTATTAAAAAATTTAAAAAAAATGTTATAAATCTTAAATTTTTTTACTAATCAATTTAATAAATTTTTTTGTATCCCTAGCATTATCCAAAAATTAAATAGTCAAAATTAGAGATTTGTACTATAAGAAAAAATAATTATAAAAAATAATAAATATTTCCACTTATGCATAACAATTTTTAAATATTATAATGGTAATTTTTCCGTAATCTAATGGCGTGCAGTAGTACTAAACTTTTCTTTTGAGTTTAAAAAATTAGGAATTTGCTTTTCTCCTATCTTCATTTAGATTGTAGGGTTGTTGTTTGGGCATGTAGGTTTCATCATGCAATCTGTTTTAATAATTTATTTTTATGATTTTTTGTGCGTCAATTTGATATTTGTAACATCTTTATTTTATTGTGTCTGTTTCTAAAAAAATACAAAATGAACAAGTGTGCTTTTAAAAATAGATAATTTATTTTTAAAAAAATAAATGCAATAAAATGAATATCTTATAATTATTTGATCGATCTATTTTTTTGTATGGACCATATACATGAAAAAATATACAGTTTGAATAATTGAAATAAGACCTATAATAAATCCCAAAAGTCGAGATGGTGCTTTTCCTGTACAAAATCCTATCCCTAAATCTAAACTTAGCATGTGAGACATACCACGAGTCCCTTTAATGATGTGAATTGTTTATTTTGTAACATAAAATAAACATAATGTATATTGTTTATACAAAAAATTAATTTTACTATTGAATTGTAAAATTTTTATTTTTATCATATTTTGCTAATGATAGAGCCTGGGACGTTTTTGAAAAATACTCTGTATATTTCCTTTTCAAATTTTTTTTGTGAAAATTATCAAAAACTAGCTTGATAAAAATAAACACTAAAAAGATGTTTTTGAATTTTTAGAAATAAAAAGAAAAAGAAAACAATGTAAAAATTATAAGTGTTTTCAAAAAAAAAAAATTTATCAAATTAATTTTTAGTGTTTTTAAAAAAATAAATTATTAAAACGAAATTGAAAATCTATTTTGTGGGTTAAATTCTAGGACTCTGTTTTTATATTCTCTAGCCAGCTAAGCTTTGTTAGGGGTTTGTTATTGTTTCTCTTGTAATCTCTCCGTGCAAAAAATACGAGGACACAATACTTGGGAGAAGAAAAAAAAAAAGGAAAAATAGAAAACATTGTGGCTGCTGGGATTCGAGCCCAGGTCTCCACGGCCACAACGTGGAATTCTTACCACTAAACTACAGCCACCGGTTATTCAATATCTCTTCACTAAATTATATCACTCATAACCTTAGGAGAATATAAAAAATTTGAAAGCAGAAAAATAATTACAAAATGATAGAAGTACAAGTAATTTATGCATTGAATTATGCAAGAATGTCTTGTACTTTCATCACTCTATAATTATTTTATGGCAATAATATTTTTCTGCAATTGTTCCCATAATATTTCTTGGCATCACATACTTGTATAGAAGTTTATGATCATTGTGAGGTTCTTGAAATCTTTGTTTGGTTAGATTTATAAAGTGATTGTCTGTTCATATAACAATAAGTGAACACATGAAAAATAAAAAATAAAGATACCACGTATCATATATGTCATATTTAGGGATGTTTTGGCCGAATTGGCTTTTTAGGATGAAATTGTACTTAAAAAAATTAGGGTAAATTACACTGATAACTCATAAGGTTTATGTGTATACAGTTTTTCCTTCACCTTTTAGAAATTACATCTCTCCCTAAGGTTTAAAATTTCATTACAGATTCCTCCCTCAGTAATTTAATTTTTTAAATACCAATTTTGCCCTCATTGAGTAAATTACATTGACACCACTCACATTTTAGAAATTACAATCCCCTCGCTAAGGTTTAAAGTAGCATTACCAATTGACACCTCGGTTAGTATTAGTTGAAAAAAAAATTCATTGAAAAAGTAAATTAAAATTAATAATAAAAAAAAATTGTTAGTAAAATTTGTAAATTTTTTATTTAAAAACCAACGTAAACTCATTTTTTGAATTTATACTTTTTCTTCAAATTTACAAACTGAGACAATATATATAAACCAAAAAAATTATCAAATAAGTTTTTATGACAGTTTTTGAAATTTTTGTAAATATAAATTGAAAACTGAAAATGAAATGGTTGCCAAACAGGGTTCAGATGGTAAAAATATCGTAAAATTAACAAATAATTAAATCAGTTACCAACATAAAAAATGACTTATCAAAAGATTCTTAGGCTATGTATGGTTTGATTTTTAAATTTTTTTTTTAAAAAAATTAAAAATTAATTTGGTTAGGAAATAAAAAAAAATAAAAAATAATTATCATTTAAGGGTAAAAAATAATTATTATTTTAACTTTTGGGCAGATTATATACATATGTATGGCTGTTTTAATTTAATTTGTAAAAAATTATTTCTGACCACTCGAAAGATAAAACTTAGATAAAAATTATATTTATTTCTTATTTCTTATTTCTTAACCAAATTAATTTTTAATTTTTTTAAAAAAAATTCTAAAAATCAAACCATACATAGCGTAAGAATCTTTTGATAAGTCATTTCTTACGTTGGTAACTTATTTAATTATATGTTAATTTTATGACATTTTTACCATCTGAAGCATGTTTGGTAATCATTTCGTTTTCAGTTTTCAATTTATATTTACAAAATTTTAAAAACTGCCATAAAAACTTGTTTGATAATTTTTTTAGTTTATAAATAGTTGTCTCAGTTTGTAAATTTGAGAAAAAACTGTAAATTCAAAAAATGAGCTTATGTTGGTTTTTAAACAGAAATTTAAAAATTTTACCAACAATTTTTTTTTTAATTAATTTTTTTTCCAATGAATTTTTTTTTTCAACTAACACTAACCGAGGGAGCAATTGGTAATGCTACTTTAAACCTTAGGGAGACGATTGTAATTTCTAAAATGTGAGGGGTGTCAATGTAATTTACCCAATAAGGGCAAAATTGGTATTTAAAAAAATTAAATTACTAAGGGAGGAATCTGTAATGAAACTTTAAACCTCAAGAGGGAAATGTAATTTCTAAAATGTGATGAGGGAAACTATAATAAACCTAAACCTCAGGGGTTGTCAGTAGTAAGTGTGTTTGGTTTGAATTTTTTGAATTAAGTTTTTTAAAAACTAAGTTTTTTGATTTTTGTATTTTTTTGTTTTTAGTGAATATTTTTAAAATTTTAAACATTTTTTTTACTTTTTTATATGCACCTTACTTAGATGTATCTAAAAAATAAAAAATTTGTGAAAAAATATTTTTAAAAATTAATAAATACAAAAAATATATTGAATTCTTGTATTTTTTTTGTATTTTTGGAATTTAGTGAATTTTTAAAAGGTTTTTTTCAAATTTTTTTTACTTTTTAGGTATATTTATGTTAGGTATGTCTAAAAATTAAAAAAATTGTTCAAAATATTAAAAAAATTCAGTAAAAACAAAAAAAACATGAAAAATAAGAAAGTAAAATTTTTTGAAAAACATTTTTGAAAAATAATAACCAAACATGCTCATCATATGTTTAATGGTACATATGGAAGTTATATATATATTGAGTCGTCAGAATTGCTCATACAAAATACATTTTTTAACTGGCCAACAGAATGAATATACTTCTAAAGATGGATCATTATTTTGAACTAATTATAATATATGTTTTATTTACACATTTATCATTATAATACATGTCACTACTATTTTCTTAAGTTATAGGAAATGTTTGTTTGAAAATAAATTTTTTGTTGACAACGAATGTAATAAATACATTGATTAATTTTCT